CACGAGATTCAGCGTGGTTGATTACCTATGTTTCCATTCGTTTTTGGAATTAACACACGTCGAGAAATATTGATCGTGGGGCTTGGTTCCCATTGAAGATAGATCATAGTTTTCTATGAAAAAAACTGATAGATTGCTATCTCAGTATTCGGAGTTTCGAACTGGTTTATCCATCTTTCGAATATTTTTCGAAAAGGATTTTGCTTATGAAAACATTGCTAAAACTGTCTTCTTTCAGTTGCTGAAAATCCCAAACCTCTATCTTTTCCCGTCTTTGAGTTATTCGAAAAACAACTACCGACCTTATATTTTGCCGCCGATAATACCTAATGGCTTTTTTCTGACACAAGCAAGCACTTTTCCGCAACATATGCTTGCGCATGTGCCAGATGACATTGATACATGTATATATGAACTGTCTGAGTTTTGCCGTTTCATTTGAGATACTATAAGATTATATTTTGCGATGTTCCTTTTTCGTCGTTTTTGGGATCCTTTCAGCCTCTCCGGTAACCCATATATGAACATGCTCCAAAACGGAAGTTATCGCCAGATAGTCCAAGTGGTGTAGCATACGGCTGACTATGTAGATTTATATAACAAGTGCCTTCGGACATAAAAATTTAATTTTTAAAATGCTCCATTTTCACTTTCTCCGAACTTTGTGATGGCCTACACCCCTAGTGAACTACATTTCTCAGACCAAAGCTATAAAGTTGAGTAGACCAACACGTGTTCTGTGCAGTGAAACTCGTGTTTAGTCAAATACTTTTACTTTTCATAAAAGAATTTAGCCAGAAAGTACGACCAATATTAATATTTTCCAATTTTGCAGGTATGATTTCGCACATGTGCGAAGGTCGAACCCACACATGTTTTTGGGTACACGTAGTACTCAACCTATACTACTTATGCTGCAAGTACGAGTTCTAGTACTGCTGCGTAGACTGAAATATGACGACTGTAAAATTCAGTTTTCTATAGATCGGTCTGTCCAGCTAACGGTCACCGTCACTTAAGATGGTTCGAAAATTCTTTTTTAACTTTAAGAATTTGTGAAGCACATCGTCTAACGTAGTTTTTGAAGCTGATTTCGAATATCAACTTAAAATTTCCAAAAAATTAAATTTTGACCCCAAAAAACGAAACCCAAAAAATCCAAACTCAGCGAAATTTTCGGACGTAATAAAACTCGGTACTGTCTACCTCTGATAAAAGCGTCATTGCATTCGGATCATTCTCAAAAAAGTTATCGCACGTGAAAGTTGAAAAAAAGTAATTTCGTAACATTTGGACAAGCCGAGGTGGTATATTTAACGATTTTTAGGGCTTTTATTTTATGAAAAATGCTATAAGTCAAAAAGGAAGCATTATCCAGTAAGGATATTTTGGGAATCCTCTAAATGTGTTATCGCTACCTACTGTGAAAGTTTGGTCGCAAAAACTGAACATCAACTGAGCAGCTTAGGTCGTGGGAACAGTGCAACGGCTCGGCTCATAAGACCGTTTCCTTTACAGTTAAGGTCACTGAATTGAATATATTTTCTACTTTTCTACCCGTCAATGAGCGACATCACTTTTTCTATTTTTCGTGTATCGGTGTGGATTAATTTATTCTTTTTCCTTTCTTTGTCTATCTTCTTTTATGTCTAAATCTATCTTTCATTTGTGACATCACTTTTTCTAGTTCTCTATTGGTCGATTTTGATGACCAAGAGAAACAGCCGGCACAATCAGACATTATTTTTTTCTAAGAACCCTTACTTCCAGTAAGGGAATAAACTTTTTCATTATTTCATTTCATCTAGATTAAACTAGATTACCTTAAATTTTATTTTACTGGTAAACGCGAGCACAGATTTGTATAATCTATTGAAAAGCTATTGATATTACCATTGCCGGGGCGATCTCAGCTTCAGAGCCTATTGTAAAGTAGTCCAGTTCCTTGTGATCAGTTCTAGAATAGGCTTGAGCCTCGCGGACTCTGTCGCTTATGGATACGACATCCAAAACTCAAGACAAACGATGGTGTGAACTAAGTGTGTCTGTGAATTATTACTTTTTTATTATATGATTTGAATTTCTCTTGCGGACCCAAAAGTATTCGTAGAACGTTTTCCAAATTGTATATTCAATTCGTTATCAAAAATAGAAATGTTATTGGTGTGTAGAATGACATAATAGAGCAGACTCAGGTAATATTGACTTGACTGGTTTCATGTTTAATAGTTCACATTTTGTTATTTGTAGGATAGTCTACAGAATCACGTAAAATATTCGACGAAAGATATTTGAATAACTTTGTCAGTGGTATATAATTACTGTATTTGCTTCATGTGTCCATGCAAAAAGTGAGAGTGATAGTGCCGCAATCTTACATACACAATCGATTAATCTGTTTGATTGTGAAAGTGAAATTAAAAATAATCTCAACGATTAATGATGTTAAAAAAAATAGAAGCTGGCTGATGTTTAAACGACTTATCACACACGAGATTAATCGTTACACTATTAAGTAAACAAACTCGTGAATATCATATACACTATTTTTCTATTCTAAAATGTGTTGAGTACTTCTTAAAATAGCCTTTTCCCAATCTGATAACTGTGATACATTGCCGTTGCTCTCTTTTGCAAAAAAGTGAAACTGATTTAACATTCATTGCTTGTTTTTTTTTTATTGCTTTCATTTATTTATTTATTTAGGATTTTTTTGATTTTTTTTGAATAATTGACTATAACAGCATTTTATTTAAATAAACATGAAACATTTGCGCAACGTAACTTTAGAAGTAAAAGTAATAAAACGACGTTACTGGCAGAAAATAGATCAGCAGCAGCTCACTGCATGTAAATCCATCCCTAAGGGTATTTTATCTGTATACTTTTTTGTTTATTTGCAACAGAAGTCTATCCATTTTTTATATTTGCTGATTTTGAATTAAATAATGAACTATGCCGATTTAATTATTTTGTGTTTTATTAAAAGATAATTTTCATGCATACTGAACAGTGAGCAAGATCTTTCAAATTTTTTTGATAGGGAAGATTTACGATGAAAAGTTGTTTTCAAATATTTAACTGTATTTGAAAATAAATATTACATGATTATTCTTCTAAGAACAATGACAAAAAGAATGTAAATATTTCTTAAGCAAAAAAGAATGACAAGTAGATTGTAGATTGATTTTTCCATTAAAACTGCCCTTGTATATCATCATATTCTGTTCGAATTTCATCTCTGAAGTTTATTGTTATAGTTTCTTCATCTTGCTCATTAGTTATAGCGTTCTGTAAAAGAAAAATACCATGTATTGTTAGTAGAAAATGCTTTGATCTTACGATTGTCAACTAGATGAATAAGGTCATTGGCAAAAGATCTCAAGATATTGTTCCCGAAGCTAAGAAAAAGTTTCTTATGATGTTATATTTTTCCAAACAAAAACAAGATATACTGGATGATTTCAACTGTAAATCAATTTTAAACGAATAGAGAGCATTCGTCATTGTATGTTAATCTGACTATTTTAAAATTTAAATAAGATTCTTACGTGTTTTGGTTTTATCGATTGACTATAATCTAAAACTTGTGCACGAACAAATGTTCCGAACGGATCTCCTTGATGACTACCATGGAAAAGATAATCATTCGTCACTGCTTCATCTTCATCATCGAGCCATAATGAAGCTTCTGTCTCGTCGATGTTTTGCTTTTGTAAATAATTTTGATCATTTTTCTGTTGTTTTTGCTGATCTTCAATTCTTTTCGATTGTTCAAATTTCTTATGTTCATATGATGCTAACTGTCTTGGTAGATGATTATTTGTACCAATCAAATATTCCTTATCAGTTGGAAAAAGATTTGCTTTTCCATGTTGAATCTGTTTACCAAGTAGACCCTGTTCGAATAGCATTATAACGTATCAATTAATACTTTGTTTATGTACCTTTAACATATTTATATCTATTTTTTCGACCATGAATTTATGTATGAAAAGGTAACGATATGTTTTCCATTTTTTATTTTTGAAGAACGAAAAATATTTTCTATCGATGAATATTTCATGAATAACAATAATAATTAACAAGGCTTTTCTCCTGGCAAAATCAAATTTTACCTCTCCGTTAAATAGTTCTGTTTGATTTTTGGTTAGGACTTTTCTTCTTTAATAGTAGGTTACGGTATACCTAAGCATGCAACAGTTACAGTTAGATTAAAACCGTAACTGTCATAACTATGTAACTATCATAACCGTGTAACTGTCATAACTGTCATAATTACAACTGCTAATAACTATAGACAAATATGTCAGAGGGAGTTAGTCTTGTACGATGTGCATACATTTTAAGACGTGGGACGTTCTTAAAATGTATGCACATCGTACAAGACTAACTCCCTCTAAAATATTTGTGTATGCGCAGTTACAGTTTTCATAGTTATAGTTATCAGCAGTTTTACAAGTACAGTTAACTGGTAAAAAACGGTAACTGGTGCATACCTAGGTAAAGCGTTTTTATTGCATTCAATTTTACTTTTGAAAATTTTTCTAAATGCATCGTTCTTTAATAGTTAGTAAGTTTTGAAAATGCAAGTTAAGCAAAGATTATTGATCGTCGTCACTTTCGTCTTGTTTTGAAGAAACTTGAGATGATGCTCATTGTTTGTAATTCATATATTTAATATCTGTATAGCTGATTTTATTCTTGTGTATAAAATATCCAAAAAAATAAACAAAAATGTTTAAAAATATTTTGTATCAAAAGTTCATTAAAAAACTGGATATTCCATTGTAACATTTTATTGTCACAATATTAACCCAAAATGTCACAGTGGAATACAAAGCAAGAGTATTAATTTGAAGAAAGAACAACGTTACAATTCAAATAAAGTGTCAACTTAATTCTCTTTTCTTTCACACAATCTCGTAAGTGTGAACTTGTTTATCTCTCTTTTCATTCACTATGTATCATGTGAAACAAGCTTCATCATTTAATTGTGAATATATCTATTTCAATAAAAAATTTCATATTCTATTAAATAGCTTTTTTTTCAAAATCTTCTTCTGGTAAAAACAATTCTGCTCCCTCATCATTTCCATTTGCCACAATAAAACGTCCTTCAAATACTTCTATACGTGGTTTCATATGTAATTTTTCATTCTCAATTAAATCGACCATATCATTCAAAATATTTTTTGCATCATTTTCAATATCATCATCGTCATAGTTCTTAATAGCGTTAAAATATTTGAAAAAAAACTATTAATTATAGTAAGGTGCACGTAATTCAAACTTTTCACGTCATTTTTTTTTTCAACGAATCACACATGATTGGATAAAGGTAATGAGCTGAGTACAAATATGTGTGTTTTAGCTGTATAAATTACTTCTTCTTTGTAGTTAAAAAAACTGAGAAAACTTGACTTTTGAAAAAACGTTTAGTTTTCAGTAAAACTATTTTTTTAGATATTCATGTTCTTTAGAAAGATCGAACGTTTTTTTGATTGAATTCCGCATGCAAAACTGGGTCATCGATTTGAGAGTATTCAGATATAATATGGTCAGAAAATTTTGAATCTAGATCGAACCTTGAAAGGCGCCGGTTGGATATTTAGCCGATATTTTGTTTGTTTTTGTTTTACTCGTACCCATGAGGTTTTGTTTTGGTTGATCGGCTAATCGATCCGTCACAGCTCATGGCGATTAGAGAGAAATAGCAGTTTTGATTGCGGTCGCCATGAGCTGTGACGGATCGATTAAACGATCAATGAAAAAAATCCTCATGTGTATAAAACCAGGAAAAAAGTTAATTATTCTTTTTCTTATATTCTACTTCGCTGCTGAGAACCATTGTTTTTCTGAGCATGGGCACTAAACGGCAAGGACATTTTTCACTACAGTTCATAAAGCTAAAATACATATATTCGTACTCAGCTCATCGAGCTCTATCCAACCATGCATGATTTGTTGGAAAAAAAGTTGCCATGGAAAGTTTGAATTACACCTTAAAATCAAGCTAATTTTGTCTGTTGGAATGAATAAACTATTCATATATCTTACCTTATTGTTATTGGTTTGATCATTACTCTTATCATCATCTCCTAATAATACAGATTCTCCTTCTTCTGTCATAAAAAAATCGTTTTGACGAGATAATTCATCATTTTCATCTTCAAATTGAGCGATTTGTTCTTCAGAAATTACTCGATCTAAAATAAAACGAAAGTGAATTTGAAAAATGTGATTTTTATGTTTAATACTGACTTAGATTATCGTTCCATAGATTTTGTTCTGCCGTAACTACTGTTGAGTCTGTTACTATACCGGTATATTGTTGTGGTTCGGCTTTTTTGGTACAATAATTGCATTTTATTGTGTGAAAAATAAAAAACACAATAATAGTAATATTTCTCATTATCATTTAAAAAGTTTTTTTACACGATTTTTATATATAATCTAAAAATGACTTAAGATATAGAGAAAAGTCACACAGATGTTGATAAAAACAATTCTGTTTCCAAACTTGTCGACTAGTTTCTGATATATATTGCATTTGTCATCTGATGAGTATGCGTATTAGTATTACTCATAATAGACAGCGTTGACATGTCAGTTTTTTTCTTTTCTTTTCTTTTCTTTACCAATAACTTTATGAAACACGTTTTTTGGTAATTCTGTTTTTCTATCCGTCTGTGCTCATGAATAAAAGAACGAAAAAAAACGAGAATTGGAAAATTTTATGTTAGATGGTGCTAATAACAAAAAAAAAACAAAAAAATGAACGATAATAAAAGCATTCTGAGATGGTATGTTTTCGTAAATATAAATTATAAGTATTTTTTTAATATTGTAGTTCCTTTGACATGAATTTTTTCTTTGAGATTGAAAACCTATACGTAAAAGATATAATCGAATAGAAGCAGATATTGTTTAGTCAAGAGTCTCGATGAGATCCCATTTACGATAGACATTCATCGCTTTATTTTTACTTTATTAATATATAAAAGCCCTTAAGTTCGTGAAGAATTTTCAAGGTAGAGATATCCTTGTCATCTAAAAGTTCTAAATTTGAAAATAAATGACATTGTACTAGAGTCCTACGGGTTTAACCCGAACCCGCGGGTTCGAGTTCGAGACGAGTTTCAGTTCATCTGAACGGGATCGGGTTTGTTTCCGATCCCGATTCTTCTAGTTTGATATAGGGGGAGATAAGAGACAATTCTAAATAAATAAAAACGAATGGAAAATAAGGAAAACAGGCAGGTGTTTCGCGCACTAGACGTACAATCGACCAAGTGAATTTTATTTTTGTACTGCTACGAGTAGAAATTTACTAATGTTAAAATGAAAGAGAGCACTACTTTACTAGAAAAAAAATATTTCGGGTTCGGGACGGGTTTTATTTGAAAAAATCAGGATTCCGAAAAAGTTTTGGCGGATTCGGGTTCGGGACGGGTTTCAAATCTACGAGATCAGCTCGGGATCGGGTTCGAAAATCTCAGACCCATAGGACTCTACATTGTACAATCGAGATAGACATACTTTATCGACAGTTTATCTATAGAAGATAATTTGTGATCACACAATATGACAGAGTAAGATTCAGAGCCAACATATAGAAATGACTCACACGAGTAAAAACTGTTTGTTGACCTCTACAAAAAAACACAGTTTCTATTCTGTATACTAAATTCTTAGATTCTATAGTTCAAATATTCTAAAATTCGTAAATTCTGAAATTCTTAGGTTCTAAATTCATAATTATTTTTATAATTGAAAATTTTAGATTCTTTCGAAATTTTCCTACTGTGTGTGAACGTATGCGGTAATGCATAGAAAACGTTAACGAGGTTGTTTTGAAAAGGTAAATCTCGAATTAGAACAACTTTAGCTTACGATGGATAGTTTTCAGTTTTAAAGTTTTTGTCGTACAGATGATTTTCTACTACAAGAATTCTACTATAATCTAGTTTCGGCCATCATTTGAATAAAACAGTATAATGCTTAAATACTAATCGAAAATTAGCAAAAAAAAGTACAAAATTCTTACAAATTTGTAACTATGAGCTATTCTATTTTAATTTTCTTCACAACTTAGAGGATTTATTCCAAAACAATTGGACAGAAGTTCTTTAACTTTAAATTCGATTTTAGAGCAAGAGCAAAATCAGACCTTCTCTGGTTAAAACTTAAATTTAGCCACTTTACGTTCCAAAAACTAATTCTTTAATCTCATATTGTTTATCAAAGAAATAATTAGAAGATACTATAGTTGTTTATGAAGAAAATAAATCCATGGAACCTTTGAAATCTCAACAATTGTAAAAAAATTTATTACAAAAAAAAACAGTAACGTTGTACGTTTAATAATCATGTGTTTTGATTTAATCATTGAGGATTCTTCTATTTGAAAAAAAATCTTAATTTCTGAGTACCATTCTTGTTACCAATTGCACAAATACGAGAAACGTTTTTTATATTATTTACATCTTTTTCTACTTTATTCTCTTTTTTTTCTAAATAAAAAAAAAGTGACTATAGTCTGTCTATACGTGTTATTTCTTTTTCTTTTGATTATCCAACCAAAACAAGAACTTGTGAAGCAATATTTTTCTCTGCATATTTACTTAACGTGTCGATGTTATTTTGTGCAAAAATTCACTTAGAGGAGTTTTTTTTACCTTCTTTTCTTCTTTCTCTTTCAGTTGACTAATATGCTAACTTGTACGGTCATAAAATTTGAAGTGACCGATACTGTTAGATTTCTTTTATACAAGAAGTTTAAAGAAACTTCTAACATTAAACGGTTTTTCATAAAACAATAGAGATAGAATCGGTTGATTTAAACAACATTTTGGAATATTGAATTTATTTTCTATTTAAACGATCTATAATATTTATCTTATCAAATGAATGTTTTGTTTTATTTTTCATTTTTTGTTTTTGAAATTAATTAAAAATTAAGAATATTTTTAGTTCAAAATATGAGAGATTCAGTCATTCTTTCACTTACACATATCCGTATTGTCTTTGCGAAAGAAAACTGACTGTTTAGTATATATTTATAGTATCATAATGTCATCATCTTCGTTTTTATCTTAAATTTACTTTTCTTTAACAAAAACATAATTTACATACATTTATTAATTATTAGTTGTTAACTTGTCAAAATATCAATTGTCCAAATTTCTCGGTAATAAAAATAGTCAAAAATTTCTGGATATGTTTTAAACTCTGAAATGTTATAATATTTCTATATCATGAGACTATTTAAATATCGTATCTATATATCCTACATGTATATGATCTTTAATAACTGTTTATCTATTTTAGATTTTAATAAACTTCAGTTTAATAACTGAAAATAAAAAATGAAAAAAGAAGATGATACTCATTTAGATAATCTTTATATTTTTAATATAAAAAATATTTTTATTCTCATGTAATAGACAATCTATTTTCTGTTTGTATTTAATTAAAAAAAAAAAAAAAATGACTACACAACGGATATCATCACATCCACATTATTTTTCAATGTTTCAAAGTTATTGTACAGAGCAAAATATATCGAATAAAGATGTTCTACTATTGAATGAACAACTTAAACATGAGATCAAAGAGGTTTTACATAATATAAATCAAGAAATTATAAAAAAATTAGTTAATTTAACATTACATACAACGTGTATTCCAATAGAGTTTGTTCAAGACTGTGATACACCCACGGGGAATATTTATCAACACTATCTTATTGATCAAACAATGTATAAATTGTTAAATGATAGTAAAATAATTAATTTTATACCACAATTACAAAAATTGTATCCGGTGAGAACATCTGGTAGGAGTGAATCATTTGATTTATCTCTTTATTTATTTAATTTAACTCTTTTGTATTCTTCTATTTTTAGGTAACGGTAATTGTTTATTACATGCATGTTTAATTGCTATTGCTGGCGTTCATGATTTTAATCTTTATCTACGCGATTGTTTAACACAATTTATGGATGTACATGAACAATCGTTAAAAAAACGATGGCAAATTGAACGTTTAAAAAATGATCAAAAACTTGGAATTACAACCGAAGATAATAGACTAGATACTGTAAGTAATGTGATTAGGACAATTTTGATTCAAACTAAAACTTATTCATCTAATTCAACAAGCTAATTTTGAACTAGTACAAGCTAACTGGATCAGGATTTCCACATCTTGAGATTTATCCCTCACTGATGTTTCCTTTGCAATTCTTTCCAATAGATATTTTGTTCTATTATACTTTCATTTCAATGACATTGTATGACAAATAATATACTGTATCTTATTTCTCGGTATCCCCTAAATTTGCCTTGATTAATTTATTCAATTAACATCTCTGATAAGGATAAAGAATTAATTAAAAGTCAATACTTTTCAGTCTTTTTTAACACAGTAGTTAATTAATTTATTTTGTTTCATTCTTTCAATAAATATATTTTAGGAATGGAAAGAATTATGTGATTTAGTTCGATATGAAAATAAAGGAGATGGTACTATAAAAAATTTACAATTTTTAGAAGCTGTACATATATTTTCTATTGCAAATATGTTTTGTCGTCCAATAATTGTTTTATCCGAACATGTTGTTCGTAATAAACATGGTGAAGCAATCTCAATTAATGATATTATGGGAATTTATTTACCAATATTATCATCTCAGAATAACTGTACAAAAGATCCAATTGTAATTGCTTATGATAAATCTCATTTTTGTCCACTTCTTACATGTGATGCTGAAAGATGGTATGTTTCGAATGGTAAAAAATATACAGCAGAAAAATTATTACCATTACTCCAATATGATGATACATCAGGCTATATAGCGTTACCTGTACATTTTCTAGATAATTCTGAACAATCAAAAAAAGATAATTTACTAAAACAGTATTTAAAACTCACTAAAACTACAGTTAAACACGAAACATCATCACAAACTATTCCATGTTGTCAATTAGGTGGAAAACGTCTTCCACAACAGTGTGATTTTATTTTATTATACAAAAAATATGTTCTTGAATTTATAGAAGAACAAAAGAGGTGTGTTTTTTTTTTCTAATTTATTTTTTAACTATATATTGTAGATAACGCACACTATTTTAGACTTGCCGAAGGAGAACATGAAAATCGATATAATAGCGATGGATATGGTGAATTTATATCACCATTTGAAACATATAGAAATGAAGATCTACCACCACCATATAATTCAAAACAATCAACAACATCAATGTATTCTGATTCATTACCCAAACAGCAGTCTACAACTAATTCGATGTCAGGAACGAATTTTTATTCAACTAATATTTTTGATAACCAAGCAGGTATTCAGTCATCATTACATGAACATCGTGAAAGTTATGAGAATGCAGTAGTAAATGGACAAATATCAACAGCGCCCTCTTCAATCAATGGATATCCATATCCTTATGATCTACAAGATAGATCATCACCATATTCAACAACCACGCAAAAAAAACTAAATCATCAAACAGACAATTACATAAATAACCAAAATGATAATTATTATGATAGTGGTAAACAAGAGACATTAGTATCATCATCATCATTATTAAATATCGATGAAAATCACATGCATCAAAATAATACAACAATTGATAATTTAACATCAGACATGAGTAATTCATCAACAAAAGAATCAAAATTGAAAAAAGGTATGTAGCTCTTATACTCCTTCGAATTTGTTGTTGGATTACAATAAAATGAATTTTATACACTAGTAATTGTTTGACTATTAGCAATGAGTGAGTTTAAAAAACATTAGTTTGAGAAAAGGCGCCGCTAATTCAAAGTTTAAGCATTATTTTATTTCTGTCCTATTTATACATGGTTGGATAGAGCAAATCGAGCTGATCAAGTATATATAAGTTTTAACTTTCCCAGTTCACATTTTAAGTGGAAAAGTTCTAAAATACTAAAAGGGCCTAAAATTTCGAAAAAACATTCCGCCACAAAAAACTCGAGTATGTTTGTCCAATTTCATTTTGGAGCTATTCAGCTCGATTTGCTCTATCCAATCATATATAAACAAGACAGAAATAAAATAATGCTTAAACTTGAATTAACAGCGTCTTACTTCATGACCATACAAGATGATCATAATCAGTGACATGTTTTCTTAAGAATTTCGGGTTTTTGACGTCTTCTTTATAAATTTATATTCATGGAACTGTACATAGTTATCAAATTATTATGTACATACATTCAGTTGTCGAAGCTCACTTCGAACGACTTATTGCTTTTCGTTAGAAGTATGACCTAGCAAAACTCTTTTTTCTTTCTTCTGATATAGAAGATGTCAATGGTCTATAGGGTACTCTTTGTGCCATTTTTTCTCAGCAGTCTCTGGATACAAAACACATAGTGATTTTCAGTGTTTTTTAATATTAGAATTAACTACTAAGTAATTAATCATTGCTTAAAAGTAACAATTTTTATGAAAAAATATTGAACATATTCCATGAGATAATTAAAACATGACATAGGCATATTCCTGTATGTATGTAACGTATCGAAAACCCAAATTTGAGCAAAATTTTTTTCCATTTTTTCCATCTACCAATTCAGCTATACAAAAGTAAAATACTCCAATCTTACTCAAAACCCAACCAAACCGCTTGGAACTCTCAGAAAATACTCTCCTTTCCTTGATTTGCATGTTGATAGAGTCAGAAAAGTAAAAACATTTATTTCCCTATTATTGGGATTTTCAGAGGTTTTCCAGAAATCCATCGTAAGAGAATATATTATTTTAGAGTTGTTTGGATATTATAACTGTTCAATCTACTACTCAGATCATATATTGAGGGTTCCAAGCGATTGGTTGGGTTTCGAATGAGATTGAAATATTTTACTTTTGTATAGTTATAGCCGAATTGGTGAATTTTCCTCAAAAGTCAGTTTCACTAGATTTTCCGACCTTTGTCTGGAAAAAACATTGCCACGAGATTCAATATATTGGATAACCTATGTTTCCATTTACTTTAGGGATTATTCGAGATCACCTAATACCAGTCTTGGGACTCTCAGCAAAACTGATGCTACACCTGAAACTACAGAGACTAAACCTACTGATCAAGATATCATACGTAGCTTACTTTGTAGGATATTCGACGAGCTTTAAAATGGTATATGACACAAAATGTACCTATTTCTTTACTAGTGTAAGAAATAGTCAACACTGGAAGTGTGTCGTATTTTTCCTAGTTAGTATACTCTGATTCATTTTCTAGGGCTGATTCCACCGACCTTGAAATTCTGAACTGACCAGTTTGTAGCAAATATCATGAGCTCCAGAATGATATATACTAGAAAAATTTATGTTTTTTGTTTGGGAGAAAAAAGGGTTACAACAGCAAGGACTGTCTACTATATTGCGTACGTTACTTTAAGGGCCCCCCTCAGAAATAAACTTTTTTATTTTAGATCCGATTTTGATGCTACTTTCAGCAAATGTGTGCCATATCGAAGTGTGGTTATGAAATTTTTTTTCCTTGCTAGTTCTTACCGTTCCCGGATTTTTCAGGGTCCAAGGCCAAAATCCCACCCTCCGCTGTGGGACGCTTTTTTTAAATATACTTCAAGCTAGAGATCTCGGGTTGGTTTTATTTTAAACTAGACACCTAACTGTGTGGACTGTTGGGAGCCGATTTTTGATTCAGGTCTTCGTTGAGTTTCTAGAGATTTTAGATCCTCAAAACCCGAAAAATTATTTCGGATTTTCCAGAGATCCTTTTTTCTAGAAAATTAAGGCCGAAATCAAAAATCGGCTCCCATCAGCCCACGGAGTTAGATGTCTAGTTTAAAATAAAACCAATCCCAGATCTCCTTGAAGTATATTTAAAAAAAGTGCCCCGCACTGAGCATGTTCGAACAAAAAGCGTGTTCTGAGAGAAAACGCCGTGCATTTGTTGGTCTGTTTTAGGACATGTAGAAAAATGCTTGTAATTTTTGAACGCAAGATCACACAGAGTTGTGCAACGTCTTATTTTGATCAGAAAAGTCTGCTTTACAAATCTACATGTTCAGAAAAAATTTACTTGCTTAAGTTTCCAGAAAAAAATTATTATTTGAAGATCCTGGTTTATAAGGCTTCTAGAAAACTTGCTCGAAAGCCACGAAAAAACAGGTCTAAGTCCAAAAGCGATGTAGATTCTGAATGTAGACACTCCAGGCTATCTTTCCATGTGCTTGTCTCCAAATTGATTTTTTGATACAAAAAGATTTCATTCTGAGGGGGGCTCTTAAGAGAGACTTCGCGACAGTCGATCGAGTATCTTGCCAACGACCGGCAAAGACCGACAATTTTTCTACTTTTTATGTTTGGTTTCCGAGCAAATTTTGACAAAAGTTTTCATTTCTCTAAAACATTTCAAAGGCACCTCATCTGACGCAATTTTTGACGCTGATTCCAAATATCACCTTACTTTTGCTTTTAAGTGAACTTTCGATGACTAAAATCTCAAAAAACTGAAAACTCGCGATTAGTCAACCATCTTGTTTTTAAGTTTTGGAACTTTTGCACCACTGTTAAAACAAAGTTTTTGTGCTCAGTTTGTGGAAAATTGAACTCTCTGTCGCATGTGACCTTCGTATTCTTAGCTAAATTCTGTTTGGAGGGTCGAAAGGGGCATTTTCTCGACAATTTTGATCCTTCAAAATCCGAATTCTCCAATTGATGTGGGTTTTAAACAGTCACTTCCTACTTCAGAAAAACTAGGAACTATGTGATTTTGTTTACTTTTTATCAGACTTCCAAATAAGACGTTACTCGAACAGAACGGATAAACGATGGCGGAATTATAGTCAAAATATCAGACATGGCTACTTTTCGCAAATCGACGATGGTGCGCATTTTGTAAATTCTATAACTCAGCCAGAATAAGTCAGAAAGTTTTTGTCTATTTTTCAAAGGCCCAGTTTTGATAGTAGAATCTGAATATGAAATAAAAAGTATATGTCAATTTTTCACTCGTGACTTGGTTTCTTGATGGGCTGGCGAATCGTCTCTTAAGCGCCCTACTGCTATCAAAGCACTGCGGTTAACTGTTATGTTACACACATTCTGTAGAGAATTTTAAAGGCTATTCAATGATATATTTACTTTGTCCCCCACGCGAAAGAAATATGAGAAAAAAATCTTTTACCATAGCTAATCTTTGAGGGATGAGCTATTGGCGCCCTGTTGACGAAGAATTACTTGGATTTTCGTAAAGTACGTGCAATGACTTAAAACCGACTGATAATACTTTTCTACTACTCGAAGAATCATTTTTAGACAAAAAATAAAGTGGGCTGATTATCAGTCTTATGCGGACCCCTCCTTTCACCACCTATCTCCTCCTAGGAGTTGGAAGATAAAATTTGTTTATCATTTCATTCTAACCGAAGTATTACTGAGATTTTCGGCAAAAAATGAAAATTAACGAACAATTTTGAAATATAGATCATTCGACTCAGTTTTTGACGCTAATTTCGAATGTGATGTTTTTGTTGGATAAAAAGCTGAGTTTTGATGGAGAAAATTGAGATTTACGGGTATTTCACTAAGTTGACCCTCAATAAATATTTGGATTTGATTCACAGAAACATAATTTTTAAAAATCTTAAATTGACTGTCTCCTATGTAGTTGGATAAGCTCTAACCAACCATATCAAAAAAATGGAAAAAGATTTTGCTCAAATTTAGGTTTTCGGTACCTTACATAGAAACTATGATGATCATACAGGTAGCATTCACTCGTGATACTACTATACAAATTGCTATCATTAGAGGCTATTTATGTTCAAAATGAGATATGTCTTGAGAAAGTTCACCTTAACACAACTAATCTTATATATATGAAATTTCTTTCTTGCATCTTTTTATTTATTGAAAAATATATTATAACAAAAAGCATCTAAAGTTTTAAGCGCACGCAAATAGATCCAGTGGAATTTAGCAACTTTCTAGCTGGTCTCTACTCTATTATATGATTTTGACTTAGTTAACAATACACTTTTTTATAATGCGCTTTATGTTTCAATTAGCGTTCTTTTTTTTGTTTGTTGAAAATTTTCTGTGTGATAATAGAACAATCAACGCATTATCTTATCTATTATACGATATTTTCTTCTAGTTGTCTTTTATTGCGTTCGTCGGAACAATGACTGATTGCCTTTAATGTAAGATTTTGGTCTTTTAATTTCAATTACAAGATATATACTAGTAGTTAAACGCACGACATAAGCAAATATCTTATTAGCATTTTATAAATCTCGCTTTTCTCTTTTATTTTGTAGTATTATTATGTTCTTCTGGCAACTATACAAAATGCTTATGGTTTCTACCTTAAAAAAATAGTATAACAGTTTTTACTGCTTTATGTAGTTTTTTTTATTCAAATTTTTCTTGTTACTGAACGAAAATATCATTAAGATTTTGGTAGGTGAAAATTGCATCATAATTAACGAGTAACTTTTCCTAACGTAAACGATTTTGTTCCAAAGTGTTAGATAGACATTGCAGACATAATATACAATATCATTTATATATTTCGATCAAAAGGTAAAGAGTTTCAAGTTTTATCGTTAACCGTGCCAATATGTCAAATTAAACTGATTATCACGTATGGTTTTTATTTTTCTGCTCTTTACTCATAGGACAGACCACCGTATGTAACTTATTGTGAGCCAAAAATTGTAAGCTGTGTGAAAAAGCGTGTATGTGTGTTTAATGACAATCTCAAATTATATTAGATTCTTCAAGCTATGAGTTTGTTTTCTCACATTATCTAATTTTTAACATTCTCAAATAATCTTTTCAGGACTAAACACGCTTCTGATTCTAGTGATATGCCGTTATAGATAGCAGAGGTGAGCGAAACGACCTCGACTTGCGAAACTCCGCAAGACGAGGTGAGATGAGACAAAATAAAACGGATTTTTGAAATTATTTAGCAAGACAAAATTCGTTCTTTTCTCGACACATTGTTTGAAACTAATGACATCTTGAAAACTGATTACAGAACTACGGAGAGACTTTTAGTTCTTTTTCTGTATTTTTGATGCGATAAGTGTTAAATACTTATTAATACAGTAGATGAAGATGGAATAAGGATAATTTTCTTTACATGAGACGAAATAACTTTTAAAACTTTTTTCGATACGAAACAAAAATGTTATGAGACAAGACAAGATATTCAAAAGCCTCTCGTCCTCCCCTCCTCTTCGCTCACCTCTGATACATAGTTTTAAAGAATAAACGTTAGTAAACATATTGCTATAACGTGTGTATTTTTAAGTAAGTTTACACTTAAAAATTGACATATAAAACGTTCTAACAATATGGGATTTCAAAAAACTTTTATAATTATTAACAAACTAAAAACACTATTTTTTCTTTTATGAGATAATGGTATGTGGCATTCCTACTGCTTTAAATTCTTTCTTCTGCTTCATACACATATAATATTAGCGTTCTTGTGTTTTAAATTGTGAGTGTTAATTAATCCAAACATATCTTAAACTTTATAAAGATATTTGCTGCTTTTATTTAGAACAAGCATTTTTTAGCGAACAATTTTTTCATAGAATGAAGAACGGTATGAGAATTACTTTAAAATTTGTAATTAAAAGAGAACGACAAAAAATAATATATATAATTTTGAAATAGAATGATAGAAAAGAGAACAGATTTAATTAATTAGTTTGCTGCTAATTCCAGCAGATCTGAAAGATACGTTTTTCATTCAGAGCTTTGAAGTATCATGCTGAATCATATTTATTTACATCTTATATAAATAAAAATAATTTGTAACAAAAAAATTAATAATCTTTTGATACCTGATGATTATGAATAATTGTGTTTAGATTTGAGCTTGATTTACAAATATTTTGAAGTATCTAGGGTCTGCATAACAGAGCACGTAGTATGAATATTTTTAACAAATATTTTTCCGTTTTCCATTCTATGAAAATTTTATGCTCTTTTCTTATTTCATCCTTCTTTTGAAGACGATATTCAAGATTATTTGACTTCTTAATAGATGAATTTTCTCAAGTATATCCAGTTTAAAGAATAGCTCTTTTAATTCTATTATATGTTAATTTTTTTCTATTTTAGACAGTTTTGTTACCAAAAATTCATTCCATCATGAACCATCAAGTAACCGAGATAATTTAATCGATTTGACATCTGGCAATATAGTTCTTGAATGTGCTGGATGTCACCAAACATTTTTAGCAATAAATAGACGACCAACTTACTGTCCATCGTGCGAGAATATCATGTACATTTCTTCTCATATTAACTATTCCCATACATATCCAAATCGAATATACTGTCCATCCAACACATTCGGATACACATCTCATCGTATGTCATCGCGAATTCCACCTTCTTCTACTAATTACTATCGTCTACCCAATGGTTTAATACAAGCAAGAAAATCACCGTTTATTTGTAAAGTATGTGCCACTGAAAATCGTTATAATGAAACATTAGGTGATGACAATCGGTGTTCTATGTGTGGAGCAAAGATTTTGTAAAATAAACTTATAGTATTCAATCCGTCCACATAATATTGTTGTTACTTTTTTATTCAAAATGTAAAAAGAATTTTGTATTTATATTGTTATTTTTTTTTCTACCGCTTATATAAAGTTGAGAAAACCAATAGAAATCTCATACTTAGTATTATTGTAACGATTGGTACAGAAAGAGCGAGCCAACTATTACAGCAGCTTCTCTCCCGTATTATCTTATATTTGAACATGTACAAATAAGCTCATTCAATAAAGAATTTACTTTCTCATTAATTTACGACTTGCAAATTAAGTAACTAAGAAATAATAAATGAAAAGTATTTTCTGCTCTATCGATCTGGATTGATTAAAACTCTTGCAAATAATCTTAACTATTCTTACGATACTCACAATCATATTCGAACGACAGAATTTTGCAGGCTACTGAAATGTTGAAAATTCATGATTTAATGGTAAATTTATCATCTTTCAATAAAAAAGATATAAAATTTCAATTTTTTTTGTTTTACAGAACTATATAAGTTATAAATCAAAAGATTCATAAATTTGAAAAACTGAACGCACTATAGATGGGTATTATTTATATACGGGTTTTTTTACGAGCTATTATTTTTACAGAAAACTTTCTTCTAAATCTTTTTAAAAGTAATGAATAAGTGCAGAATACTTTTCAGAAAATTTTCTGATATACCTTAAAAATAGCACTGATAGTTTTTAAGAATAAGAAACGGTTTGTATTTTTATTTCTCGATAGAGTACTAACAATGTCGAAAGCAATTCAGTTTTTTGTTTACTGCAATTTAAAACAATAAGCTCAATTCAAGATTCAAACAAAGCAGTTTTTTTGTATAAAACTAAATTCTCTATTGAATGAGCTTATTTGTAAATTTTTAGACAACAACAATATGGGAGAAAATACACTGTAAAGGTTATGTGGCTCGCTCGTTCGTTCTGCATCATACGTCATTACTATTTTTCATTCTATCTCGAACAGTTTGTTTCCTTTTTTCGTATTATACCCTCAAAGTTAGCTTAAAAGCAGATACGTGTGTGTGTGTGTGTGTTAAGTGAAACCCATTCATATGGTTACTTTCTATGCGAACAGAAAAACAATGTTTTTTTGTACATGAACTATAAAAATTCACTTTTATTTTTATACTTTAGAAAAAGAATTGTATACGTTCTAAATCAACAGTTACTATTTAATTATTTGTACAACAGTTTTATTTATATAATTTCAATTGAAGACAGAAAAATCTGAACAAATGTTCTGAATAGATATTCTTTGCTTTTTATTACGTTCTTGTTTTGTTCTCTTACTAGTAAAATAATTTTTTTTATATTATTCTCATTGTTTAACCGCATTTGTTGTTGCTATAGTTTTTTAATCCACCTATTTGACGCTAACAAGAATGAAAATAAAAATGAAATATTGAATTGAAAATTAAATTGAAATAAAAATGAAAAGGAATTCAGAAAAGGCAGATCGATATACTATTATCACATGAAAAGTTTTCCGACAATCCTGTTTGTTTTAAAAAATTTGTACTTGAGTACATTACTCGAGTACCACTGTTTTGTACTCATACTCATACTCTAAAAAGTGTGTACTCGCCCACCTCTGCGATTCAGTGAATCGCGTTGCTAAGTTAGTTCTTTTGAGAAAGTTAATCAAGGTATTAGCACAGAAACACTAGTAAATCAAAAGGTGAGCTATACTCTGGATGAGGTTTCGTTAACACAGAAAATTGATGAGAAGTTGAAATTGAAAATGTATTGTAAAAATTTCGAATTGACATCAGTGTACGCCAATATCAAATTATTTTTTCAATCACGGTTATGGTTTGTCAATATATACATTTGTATAAACACCACAGTATAGTATATGTGGTGGGGATAATTTTACACGAATGGAAAAAAGAGAATTTTAAAATTTAAGTTTTTCCAGCATTAAAGGTTCGGACATTAAAAATTCATGTTGCTTAAAAGAAAGATCGTGGAGTGCTGCGAGTAGTCCGAAACTATAGATTTGACCACATCATACACCATGTTTAGCTCACAAGTAGAGATCTTTTATGTTTCAGAAGATGGGGCTTGACCCTTAAGTCGATTCTAAAATCCAGTTAAACAATTCGTCGACGTAAAATTAGCATTATTATTTTGAACAAAGCGTAACTAATTTCGTAAAAATCCACTAAAATAAATTTCCAACGCAATATTTGTTTCGTTTGTCACAGTTTGATAATTTGTTTATTTGAAACTAATCCAATCGAGAAAAAAAATGCCAGCAAATTGCATGAAAACACAGCTAGTCTTTGACTTGGGATAGAGCATGAGTACTTTAACAAACAAACAAAAAAAATACATCATCAACAAATTATCAATCATTCTCTAATTAAAAAATAAATGCTAAAAACTAATCACATCAAAAAAATACCTCCACACGTTTATCTAAAAAGAGTGATAGTTTTTGAAATGAGAAAAAAAAAGATTAATAATTTCACTGTAACTTGATAAAGGTAAAGGTAAAGGAACGTAATGGGGGTGAAGAGGGAAAATATAATATATCTATTCATCATTAAGTCATGATTAGTCAATATCAATAATAACTTTATCAACAGGCTAAATTAAATAAAATTTAGTAAGTATAGATAAACTAACTATATTACTTACAACCAATCAGCGTTTTCTTGTCCAATCTGACTGATATTTTCTTGAAACATAATATTCATATGATGCGCGATTACATATTGGTAACCATTCCGACGCTTGATCTTCAGCAGCCTAAATGTCGAAAATGCGCTATAGTACTACATTTCGAACTAAAGAGACATATTAGATACTTGAAGATAAATATATGCATCTGTACCATAACCATCGATAGAATGCATTTCAAGATCACCATTGAAATATCGAGCACTTTAAACGAAAATAATGATATAATGGATGGGTTTTAATGGAAGAAAAGGCATTTTTGACATCAATGGTGTACTATTTTCTATTCCTTGGTGATAGATGGGGATTCAATAACTCACTATAAACGCGATATTGGTAAACCATAGCCAAAACCAGCAAGAGGTACAGGACCAGAGTGTTGTGAATCTGTGAGTGATACTGGTCGAGGTGCTGTGGAATACATGTAACGAAATATTTTGTCAGCTTTTGATCGTGGAATACCACCCCCTCGATCACTAAAACGAGAATAAAACGTTCTTAACGGGTGTTCAATTTTTATGTGTCTGTGCAGTACCTTATACGTATTGTCAAATCTTCTTTAGCTTTCACAACATGAACTTGAACAGGTGGTAATGGATCATCTGATTTTAATTTTTCCGATAATTCAACAGTCGCTCGCATTGAATTCTAAAGAGATGATATAAATTGATCATTTGAATCACATAATGAATATATGTTACTTTAAACAATTCGAACATTATATGATACAAATGCGAGGGAACATATGGGATTTGTATTGGTTCATTTGGTTGCGACGCTAAAAAATACCGATTATTATGTCTAAATTCTTTCTGTTCTGTACTAATTGCACCTACCTACCATTAACCAATTTTAAACTGATTTCCGGCGCTTTTAAATAATAGCCATCACATAAAAATTTTGCATTTTCAAATGCATCTGAAACAAAATAATTAAATGGATACATTTTGTTTACGTTTAAGCTCGTATTAATAATTACCCATAACGATTGAATAAACGTGACAATTTGGATCAATAAAGCCTACATGTGTTGGATGCAGTGGTACTTCATCACCAAAACACATGGCTAAAAGAAAACAGTAATAGACTAAAGTCTTACATGATTTTTTGACTTCTAATCAAGACTAACTGTGCTGATAGATAAGTAATCTTATACTAATTCGTGATAAATAAAATCGATTAAGAAAATATTGTATTTGTGATTCTTCATATTCTTGAACGGGACCAGCATCAAAAAATTCCATATATCCCTGAGCTAATGTTTCTACAACAGTTGTATGACGTTTTCGAATATTTTGTAATGTTTCAGTAAATCTAAGTAAAACTAAATAATAAATTTCTGTTCTGGTATTTTGATAAATATAAACACTTACTTTTGAACAACATCATCTGAGGAAGCTAAATCTTTGAAATTATGCACATCTGTCAGACTTGAATCGTACCTGAACAAAAAGAAAGAAAAAATTTATAAAAATAAATATATTAACAAATCTAACATACCATCCTTTCACAACTCGTACACTAGGCATTTCTAACAGACGTGGTGGAAGATGCATCATTTCTTTCATCATTGATGCCAGACGAACTGGCAATTCATTTCGTAGAAATAAATATGATTGTTTAGCATCGCCTTCACGCGCTACAATGAATGAAATATATATAACATATTCTTACTAGAGTAACAACATAAAAACACTTACCAAATTCAATAATACGTTTTAACGTAAGAGATGAAGGTGCATATTGAGCATAATGGTCTACTAAAGCAGCCAATAATGGTTGTTGTTGAAATAAAAATCGTGTTAAACGCATTTTAACAAATATTGATTTTAAGGCATTGCAGACACTATTAGACAGAAAGATACAACATAATTTTAAAAACGGACAGAAACTTTCAAAAACTCAAGTGATTAATAGAAATCTGTCAAGAAACGTTTTTATCTCTTTTCAAGACAGAGACCATCGGATCCAGATAAGGTATAGGTCAAATCTGCCGATCCCGACCTATGACTGAAACCTAGACCTGAAAAATGGACCTCCCGCTTCCAGATCTTGACTTTAATCTAATCTGAACCTGTGACTTGGAAATGAAGTCCGTACAGAAAAATACTACTAACGCTCATTTTATTTCTCACGTTTATAACAAATTAAATTTAACGGGATACCCTGTCTTCATAAATCACACATTTATAAAACTTGGAAACAAGTTTCATAAATGTGTCATTGATGAAACTGGATTTATGAAGACAGGATAATCCAATTTAACACGTATACTGTTTCATGTAAGCCTTGGTAATACAGTTTATCTAGGTCTGAATTCTCGTCTTAAGTACACTAACTTAATCATTTTATGTACTTTATCATTTTGCAAAAAGCAAAAACCAAAAAAGTGGTAACACTAAAGTCAAGACTTTATTGGAAGTTCAGTTTACTTCATGAAATGTACCGTTGTCTTCATTGCAAAGTTTTATTGTTCAGGTTAGCTCAAGGTCAAGGCATGACAGCGGTAGGCTCATGTCACAGATCCTGGTTATAAGTCCAGGTGTGATACAGACAGATGCCGATCTAGGTCCGTCTCTGACTTTCTTATCTTAGAGAGTTAGAGCGAACTGCTTAGAGATTAGTATCTCCTAAGCTTTATTACATATTTGGACCTGGATCTGTTAGGTCAAAGGTCCAGATCTACCGACTCTGTTTCCAGAAATCTATTTTGTTTTCTACTTGTTCATTCTTTTAGCTTAAACGTATTTTAATAACAAGTAAAGTCACTAACCTATTTGCATTTACAATTAAACACCTGCAGTAAAAAAGAACTGAATATTTTAACAAACATGAATGCGTGACTTACAGTAACTCTTGTTCAGCTGTTAGCTAAGATATACTAATAACTACTTTTAAATGCAATAGACAATCTAAAATGGAGTAGAAAAAGAACCTGAATGGGGATTTTAAACTTTAAAATCTTTCTAAAGTTGCGAGGCATTCTCCCCAAATCTAATAAAACGTAAAGGTTGTGGTTTTTAATACTCTTTGTTATTTAGTCTTATTTTTATATAAAAATATTAAAAAAATTACGGATGCACAAAACCAAGAACAAAAAAAAATATAAAGCTAAGGGGATTAAAAGTTTCTACCATTGACCAGATTCAAAAGTGAGATTAGATTAAGTCCAACTGGATCCTTGACGTGACGTACGCCTATAATACGCGTCTGATTTTTTACTATATATTGGTAATAACTCTGTAGCACTGTCAGGCACTGCCTAAAAATTAATAGCAAATAATTTGTTTATTAGCTATAAGATACGATTCCTACATTTGCTTACTTTAAGATAAACATAAGCGTACGTGCCATAGCCTTCGATAGAGGAAATAACTAAATTACCGTGAAAATACCTAGCATATAGACGTGAGATTGGAAGACCATAGCCAAGACCAGCCTAAATAACAAATAAACGAATGACTAATTGCCTATCACATATAATTGTGATGTCAACAAACATACCATGGGAGTTGATTGAGCATTTGATGACTTTGAAATGATTGTTTTTGGAGCTGTAGTGTACATATAATGGAACAAATGAGCTATATTACTTCGACTTATTCCCCCTCCTTGGTCACGTAATTGTATTGTTATGTCTTCTGCTCCTTTCACGATTAGAAGTTGTAATGGAGCACATTTTACTCCATTCTTATCATGATGTTCAACAACGGCTCGCATAGAATTCTAAAACAAGTCACTAAACGTTCGATTGATCTTTCTTAAATAAATGATAAACATACTTTCAATAATTCAAAAAGTATGTGATATAAATGTGATGGAATGTAGACAATTTTGATTGGTACATCATCATGATCTTTGGCATTATGACAAATAATTTCAAGTTCTGGTGATTGCATATAAACTTGATCACACAAAAATTTTGCATTATCATAAGCATTTTTAGCTATTTTTACCACATCACAATTAGGATCTATGATTCCGGCTTGTTGGGGATGTTCTGGAACTTCATCTCCAAACAGTAAAGTATGTTGATAAATCAACATTCGAATTCCAACTAGAACATTCATGAATTATACATGTTACAGTAGAGACGATTCTCATAGATGTAGTATAAAAAATTATAGATAGTTTGTTCAAACAAATATAATGGCATAGAAAAAACGAATTACTCACTTCTATTCATGAAAAATCTATCATAAAAATATTGAATTTGATTCTTTTCGTATAAATTTACTTGACGTGTTTTTTCCAGTTCAATGTAACCTTGAGCCATCGTTGGCACAACATCAACGTGTCGTTGTCGAATAGTCAATAGTGCTTCTGTAAATCTAACACATAGTATCTCGTAACTAATAAGAAGTTAAAATTTTATTAACTTACTTTCGAAGAGTGTTAAAGTTCGGATCAACATTCTCAAAATTTAATATATCTTGGAAACTTTGATGAAACCTATCCAAGGAGTAAAAATAAATAATAAACGTATATGTTAAACAGTTTTGCTGATGTATAAAAATTGTAAGGTAAAAGATAGACTTTAATTCAAAATCAAATCCAAATGATATTGATTAACTACACCAAAATTCATCATAGTAAATTCTGTTACTTTCATAATGAGTAAAAAGAATCTAGCATAGTAAAGGATAAAAATGTACCATGATTTAACCAGTTTGAAACTTGGCATTTCAAGTAATTTGGGTGGTAAATGATCCATTTCTTTGAGCATATGGGACCATCGAACAGGAAGTTCAACTCTTAAAAATTGATATGATTGATTAATATCACCATTGATTCCTATAAAAGAACGATATGTAAGAACGAATGCAAGAGTAATCGAGTTCATACCAAAATCAATTAAAGTTTTGATTGTTAGTGATGATGGAGTAAATTTGGAAAAATAGTCAATTTTTGTTGACAAATTTCGTAAATAAGGAGTCAAACGCATCTTGTTCAGCGCGTATTGACTATTATTAACATTTCTAAAAAAAAAGATGAAACAATTTCTGTTCTAGTACATACCTTCTTCGGCAAATACTGGTATTCTATATTCTTAGTTATTGAATGTCGAATATTTTTCAACATTTGTAACAGAATTCGCTTTTAACCATATATATGAAGGATTTTTTGAGCAAGTTTGACTAACCTCATACACTGTCATTGCCTTCGATCAGAATAATCAAATGCTACTTCTCATATCTCTGGTAAAAGAAAAAGTACTATCTACCAGACAGTTTCAACATAGGGAAAAAGCACTTTAACAATAATCTTTTATTATTCCTAATTAACAGAAAAAAATAGAGATAGTAAAAAAACAAATATCAGGAAAAAAAACTAATTATGTCATTAATCGATTTGTTTGTGAAACTTTTAGCTCAATATCTTGTACATTTTTTTCAATAAAATTCAGCATTTTGAAACATGAATTTAATGTTTTTGTTACTTGTTTTACACTTTGTTCATTGTTTACTATCGTCGATTTATTATTATTATCTGTAGTAGTAGTACCATTTGTAGCATTTGAATGTTGTTCGATATCGTCATTCATATCATCAATATTCTCATTGTCATTCATTTTTTCCACAATATCATTTAAATCTTTAATTGATCGTTTGACAAGACTATCCATATTTTCCAACATTTCAAAATTTTTTATTCGTTCTGTTAATGTTGTAGATGAATCAAATGGTGTTAATTGTTGATAAGACGAACTCAGTGGTGGTAATAATTGTATGTCCGACTCGAGTTTACTTATATTTGTTTCCAATTCTTTTTCATGAGCATCTAATAATTTTAAATCTTCTTGTAAATGTGATTGATGTGTTGTCATACGATTAACATCACGCTGTAATAATTGTAATGTTTCACGATATTGAGATAAATCGGCATCACGTTGACGAATTGATTGTGCTAAATCATCATAGCTAATACGATGTTTAACATCAAAATCTTGTTGCCATTTTGTTAATAAACGTTCAAAATCACGAAATGTACGAACTGGTTTAGTTGCGGTTGCCGCAGCTGTTGTGGATGTTGTGAGAGTTGTAGTACTCGTTATCGGTACACTAGTTGTAGCTGTTGTAAAAATAGTTGACGAAGTTGATGTTGGAAGAGAAAAAGTGGGTAAAATATTTGTTGTTGAAATTGTAGTGGAAGAAGTTGTCAACTGAGGTAACAAACTCATCTAAAAATAAACATTCAATAATTGCTTGAAAAATATTGGTCGCAACTGTTTTATTTTTACTATGGTGATTTCCTATAAAAATTAACTGTAGAACAGACCATCCTACAAAGCTTAGATATATTATCTTAGATATAGTAAGAAAAGTGCTAATAACAACATAACTACATTTTCAAATACAGCCATATTTGAAAATACTGTTGTATAACTATATTGAAAGTCTTCATCGAGAACCGATATAATTTCTAATAATATTTAAAATTTTCCTAAAAAACGACAGAGACACGAAAAAATTTGTTAGTCAACAAAATTACGTAGCTACTTGGCAAGAAATCTACCTTCTTTAGATTCTGTATGGTAAACACTGAGTACCATTTCAAAATATCCGATAAACATCGTACTAGAAGGTACGTCAAGGACGTTATTCACTTCTCCTCAATACTATACTAATATGAATAGTCAAAATCAGTTCATTCCACAAAAATCATGTGTAACCAAGTCATATAATATACAAAAAATATTAATGAGAAAAAAGTGCGAAAAGAAGAACGTTACATATTTTATTGTTTAGAGCTTAGATTGATCGACTTTATTTTATTCTCAATTTCATTGATATCTTGAAAACATGTTTGAATATCTGATGTTGCATTGGCAATCGATGATTGTTCATTAAAATTCAAAGTTTTATTCAAATTCGTTAAAACGTCACTGACATTCTCAATTTCTTTATCAACATTTTCCATTAATTCATATGTATTTGTTCGATCAACATCTGTTTTTATCATGACATCATTCATTTGACGCAAATTTGGTAAAAATTGTTTACTTTCATTCATTAATTTATCAATCTCATTTTCTAATTCATCGTTATATTTTCGAAGTGTATTAATGCTTAATGTAAATTTATTATTCGATTTTTCTATATCATATAACAAATTTTGACTATTAATAAATTGTTCTGTTTTAGAATTCACCAGATTTTGTTCGTTGCTTAATTCTTGTGCGTTTCGCAATAATGCATTTTCTTTCGTTGTAAAATATTCATGCCAAATATCAATTATCTGTTCTAAATCAGAATAAGTTTTGTTCGACTTTGATATAATGGGTAGAATCTCGTCTAGTGGTAGTGACATTTTTGTTCTAAAACATAAAATGGTTAATAAAACGAAGTGAAGATGATTGTGCTGACGAAAAAAACTGACTCTCAAAAAAATTGTTTTATTGACAAAAGTACTTCTTATGTACCACATTGATCAAACTTGTGTGATTTTCGTTAAAGATCAGGGGCCTGTTTCTTAAAAAAACTTAAGTAGAAAATCTGGCTTAAGTCAAACAAGTCCAAAAAAGTCTTTGTCGCTTTTCACTTAAGTAAGATTTTCTACTTAAGTTTTTTTAAGAAACAGGCCCCAGACTATAAAAGGGATTTTACTGGCTCACAGTTCGTTAATCTAACCGTTAAGTGAGAGAGAAGAAAACACATAATCATTAAGTAAGAAGAGTTATATCTATCTCTTTTTGTGAAAGCCGAAAACGCCAATTATTCGAATGGCGAACACTGTAAATTTGAAAAAAAGAAAAGTCCGTGATTTTTTCACCTACTTTTCTCTGAATCATATACATCTTTCCATCATTGAGTACGATCCGTGAAATATGTAATCACGAGCTTTTCAGCGCGAAAGTTGTCAATTAGCTTCGTGATTTTTCCCACACTTTACTTCAAGACGGATTGACATCTTTTTGTCGAGTTAAAAAGCTCGTGATCGTATATTTCACGGATCTTACTCAATGATGGAAAATGAACTTTTTTATATGTTCAGAGAAAAATAACATAGGTGAAAAAACCACGGACTTTTCTTTTTTTTCAAATTTACAGTGAAATTGTTGGTTCTCTTTAGATTTTTCATGAGAAATCAACGTGTAGAAAACCAAGATCTCCCCCCCTATGATGCGCAACGTTTCTTCCGACGTGCGTTAGTGACTTACAATTGTTGACCATATCTTCGTGTATCAGAAAAATGCCACTTTGACAAAATTGTATTCAACTAACTTAGAGTAGATTATAGCTGATATCAAGGTAATATCAATTAAGTGAGATATCGCTCTACAACGGTGGACGCGGAACGTAGAGGCACAAATTCTTCTTTAATGAAAGGACGACGTAGTTTGTTAATTATGCAGCTGTTTTTGTTTTGTTCAGATCTTGTCTTATTTTTATGTATGTTGACTTTATTTAGAAAAGTGAAACTATCGATAGTTGTTTTCTGAACAGCATGTCTGCGTTAAAGAATTTGTAATTAATGTAGGTCGATTTTGTATTTGTTAAAAATCCTTTCTTTTGTTTTGTTTCATGCACATGACATTTTTATTAGCTTTGTTCCTCGCATCAAAAAGAATGAGAAAACTCCATCTGACTATTTCGAATAGGCGTATTCTAAAGGAATATAACTTAGATGCGATCATCGTGTAGTTGGATAGATTTGAACGTTTATTCGATGCTTCTGATTGAGAGCTTTTTTTTACAGACTCTTTGCTAGAATGATTGACTAAGGTCTTTAACATTTTTGAGTTAGTTTCTGTGTGTTTGCTTTTACGAGAATATTTAGATTAAGGGTAAAACTATTTTATTTTGTTCAAGATGGGTTCTGAAACTGCATGTAGCTTAATTGGCGGTGGTTTAATCGTACTGCTAATAGCCGGCTATTTTGGTCAACAGTTTCTACCACCACCTAAACCTAAAATAATTGGACTTGACTTAGGCACAACTTACTCGTGTGTGGGTATTTATCATGCAATAAGTGGTGTAATTGAAGTTATTCCAGCACAACGAAACCGCTCATGTATGCCATCAATTGTCTCATTTCTATCTGATACTGACATTCGGATTGGTTATGATGCAAATGATTTAATAGAAACAAATTCAAAATACACTATTTATGATACAAAACGTTTTATAGGTAAAAAATATACAAAAGAGAATCTAGATAAAATACAGAAGAATTATCCATTTGAATTAGTCCTTAATTCTGATGGCTACGTTGAATTTGTCATATCGTCCAATGGTACAACTGTATCAGCTCAAAAAATTGGCTCTATTATATTGAGACATTTAAAAACATTAGTTGAACAACGTTTAAACATCAAAAAAATGTATGAGTGTGTCTTAAGTGTTCCAGCTGAATTTGATAAAGAACAAATTGATGCAACAGTTTTAGCTGCTGAATTAGCACAATTATCAGTAAGGAGAACAATCTCTGAACCAACAGCAGCCGCTCTTGCCTATGGTCTACACAAAAAATCAAATATTCAATATATTCTTGTTATTGATATTGGTGGTGGTACAACAGACATTAGTCTCTTGCATGTACAAGGTGGAATGTTTAAAGCACAAGCAATGGCTGGAAATAATCGTCTGGGTGGACAAGATTTTAATCAGAACACGGTAAATTTTGTGATGAATGAAATGAATTTGAATAAAGCAACACTTGATCCAAACGTTTTACAACATTTAAGAACTGAAATTGAACGTTGTAAATTAGAATTTTCATCACAAACATCATGTTTAATTAATTCGTCTTTTACATTATCACGTGAAACGTTTGAAACTATCAATAAAAATTTATTTAAAAAAATCGTAGAGCCACTCGATCGAATATTTGAATATGTTGGTGAGGATAGTGAGAATAATGGATTAAAGCCAAAAGATATTGATGAAATTGTGTTAGTGGGTGGATCAACAAGAATGTTAAAAATTCGACAGTTAATAGAAGAATATTTTAATAAAAAACCAAATACAAATATTGATCCTGATGTTGCAGTAACATACGGGGTGGCAATACAAGCCGGAATTCTAGGAGGTATGTGGCCATTGTCAGTTGGTGTGATAGAAGTAAAGACAGCTGTTGAAAAAATACATATTGAGCCCTGACATATGTGTTAACTAGAAAACGAGCTTTTCATCAACAGATTTTATTGTTAAATGAACGACAGCTTTACTTTTCTATTTATTTTTTGTAAAAGCAATACTCTTTAGAAGATTAAAGTTAGAGTTTTGTCTTCCAGGTTGAGAAAAATCAAAAATAAAGCAACCACACTTATTTTTTGTTATCGTATTAGGTTATTGTTGAAGTATGCATAAGATGATTCGTTGGTTTTTTGTTTTTGTTCAATATACTGATCTTTCTTGTCAATTACATAGCTGAGAATGACCGTCCGTTTGTTGAATGTTCTCATGTATGGCTATTTCCCATGTATGTTAAGATAGGTCAGAAATAAAAATAATATAATCAATCTTCAGATAAATGCAATAATAATTTCTCATGTGATTTTCTTTGCAAAATGAATGTTTTGTCCATAGATGATATTTTTCAATGTTTTTGTTGGTGACTGATTATTTTTTTGTGAATTTCCACTAGACACAATTTTTTTTCACAACTTATTGAGGACTGCATTGAAAACAACGGTGAAATTCAAAAGTTAGCTATTTAAGAGACCGAAGCAACCTCTCAAAAACAGTTGCTTCTGGTGGAATATTTATTATTTATTTTTTAGCCTATATTTTTAACCATACTCATGAAACTTCAAACGATCTTACTCAGTGTTGTTTTTTTAGTTATAAAATGTTTATTTTTTTAACTTATTCTTTATTGTTGTTGACGTTGTTATTGTTGATTGTTATTTATTTGATATAAAATTTTGTTTCAAATATTTTTTCGTTTATATTTCTGTCTTGCATGCTATTTCTTTCCACTAAATTTAAATAAGATTTGCTCTACCTTTTTTTACGTCATTTTAGGTAATATATTCACTTTCTTATTTATTTTGTCTATTTTTTTTCAAAAATGATATTCTTATAACGAGACAAAAGCAATGAGTAAAAAATCGACATCACGAACGTTTTTCTCCAAGAACGAACATCGTCTACGTTCAAAACCATTGACACTCGATAAATTTGTTTTTGATGAAGAAAAAGAAGAAGAAAGTGAGAAGAGTAAATCAAAAAAGTCGTTATCACCAGAAACTCGTATAACTACAACAAAAAAACGTCAGCGTAAAGAACGATCAGCTATGAGTAACGAACCGCAAACAAAACAAACAAATGTACATGATAAACAACAAAAAGGACACATCGATCAACCATTTGATGGCTATGAAAGACCCGTAACACGTCGTGCGTCACGTCTAGTTTCACAAACAAATACAACAACAAGAACAACTGCACTATCTCCTTCTCCACTTCCGGTCATTGATTCATTACCGGCTCATACTCCAAAAGTAAAAGCTAAAGCAGCAAAAAAAAAACAAGGCAAAAGAAAATCATCACCAAAAATTTCATCTTCACCACAAACAAAAATAGTAGCACCATCGCCCCCGCCTATTAGGACGATTCCAACAGTAGATTTACAACAGGATCCCATGCCTAAAGCAGTGCAAGAAGCGGAAAATATTATACCAAAACGTCGAAATATTCGGAAAAGGATTCTAAAATCGACCAAAGAAAAAACTGGAACGTCATCAAAATCTGAGGTAAATCAAGATGTGTTATCGACCACTGAAAATGAATCCGTACAGAATAAAGGTGTTACTTCCGATGTTATCAGTACTATTGTAACTCCCGCCACTACTCATAATGATGAAAGTAACAATAACAGTCAAACTTCACAACTTCTACAAGAACAACAAAATGATTTTGATTCTGATAGAACCAATGATATATCAATATCGGAAGCCATGACTCTAGCGGAACCAGTTCGGTATGATCAAAATGACGATGATAGTGACGATTCGATAAGCATTACTTGGACAGGTTCAAGCAAAATGTCAACAGAAATATTGAAAAGACGTTTTCATTTTCCAAAGCAAGAACCACAACAATTCAATCGAAAGGTAAAATATTTTCTTTTACTTAGAGATCGTATTGTATATTGGTACCCTAGGAATCTAGCGGCAGATTATATTTGAATACTTGGTGAAGGTACAATACAAGTTTCGTAGCCGAGAGGAAAATATATAGCGTTTCTAAAATCAAAACAGGTGATGAGAGAAATTTATATTTGCTATGTTTGTGAGATATAATAAAGCGTGTAGTCAATCAGCATCCTACTTTCTTCTAACCCATATAGACTCAAAGAAGATGAGATATACATACGTGAGTATAGAAAGAAAAAATGAAAATAATTTATAAAATTTGAGTTTATCAGTAGTCCATTGCACATAACTAGAATTATCTTCTAATTAAAATCAATGTTTGTTGCTGACAAACTGAAAAAGCAATTGAATTCTACCGGTAACCCAAGGATTCAATGGTGAAAGGAAATGATTAGACTTATAAATTTTAGATGACTTATATAGCAAAAGAAGAAATCGAGTGGGGTTTATTTCAACATTCCACAAAGTTCGCTAGTATACCTAAAATAGTAATACAAATAATTCTCTCGAAAATGAAGATGATGATAAAAAAAAAACGGGTTTCCTGTTCTTCTGCTTTCTCTCATGTGTGATTTTTTTATAGAAATTTGTATATCGTTTGAAAATAAACATAAACATAAAAAAAAACAATTTGTTTTTTAATTAAATATGCATTTAATACACTTGAGAAGATTGTTCACAATCTTTTTTTAACATCATCTTCTTCCAGAGAGAATTGATTTGCGTAATACTGTCTTACGTTCGTTGATTTTTCCGTCACCATTATGTCTCTCTCTCTTATATTTGTGAACAATCCTTCTCAAGTGTAGGATACGAGATATGCTTATTGGCTTTATTGGATATGTGTCTTGCTTATCTTTGACAATGAATAAGGCATTCAGATCTGATCTATTTAAATCTTACCGATCAACCGAATCCTGTCTTGTAAGTTTTTAAGACCTTTCTTGCTCACAAGTAAATTCAACATAGAGAATTGTTATCTGACTGTTAGGCTATGGAAACCATCTAGCGTGTAACTGTGCTATTTTTTTCTTTTATACTGTTATTTTTAGAAGGCATTCATTCCAAGATTTTCGAATCTTGAATCATTCTCCGAAAAATTTTCTGGTAATTCAATTAATGAAACATTAACATCGGCCAACAACGATAATCTAAATTCTTCGAGTGATCTAAATCTTCAACCACTAAAACGTCGTTCGAGTAGACGTTGCTCAGACGAAGATTATCAACCTCCTGAAACACTTTTACGTGAAATTACAACACAACTACGAACGACGATTCCTCCTTTATCACCATCCATTACTGAAGGTAATTCCTTACGAAACGATTCTGATTATGATTATAGAAATAGTGCCTTAGATAATAAAATGGATGATGAAAAGAATAATTATGCACTAAGTTCAAAATCGAAACCACGACGATTTGCAGTTAAAAGTACTCAATCAAAAAGTAATAATTCTCAAATAATACAAGAAAAACAAGTGAATAATAATGATATTGCATGGAAACATTCACCAATAAAACAAAATTCTAAATTATCTCTACAACAACAGTATGACGATGATACTGTGGAAGACGATAGTAACGACCCAATAGCAGATGTTGATGTCGATGACTATGATTACCATCCAAATGTAAGTTATTCAAAGAAAGGAGTAACTACGGGACGAAGAACTGCAATCAGAGGCGGATTTAGAGGTGAAAAATACCCAAAACAACAACGAAAATGGAATGATGAGTACGATGCATTTGACGACGATGAAGGCGAGGAATCATACGAAAAAGGTAGACTTCCATTTTTTTAATTCTACTTTTAGCTAGTACAAATTGCTTTAAGTGCTCAATAATAAATTCACTTTTGTCTTTTTTTAGACTATAGTAATAGCCATAATCAATCTTATGATGAAATGTACACATTTGAATCAGCTAATAATCGTCGTGGTAGTAATACACAATATGACGGAGCTAGTGGTACTCGTCGTTCGTCTCAAAGTAGTTCAAATGAACGTCGTATTGCTATTAATAACGGTCGCCAACCAATTTATAAACCTTACAAATCTTCGACCTATCGGCCCACGCCTGCAACACTCGGTTTATCAACCAGTAGACGTAATACAAACTTTTCTACACATCGTCCAATCGGAAAACATCGATCCATCGTGAATACAAGTGGATTTAATTCGTCAGGATTAAAACAGCAACGTCGTTGGGTGGGTTAATTGTTTCATAGTTTTAATACTATAAGTAACATACTGTTTTTGATATATCTGTTTAGACATCAAATGATGATGACTATTATTTATCCTCAACATCTGGTCAGCTTCAACCAGGTCTAGTTCCACGTACACCATCGACATCGTCGACAGCTTCGTCGACCACTCAACATCAAAATCGAGCAAATGCTGGAAATACTTATGTAGCTAAAATCAATGATATACAATTAAGTGAAGTAGCGAATAGTTCTCAAATATTTTTTGTTAATGTTCCTACACCAGGACAACTAAATGGATCTACAGGAACTGATCAATCGCAACAACAAGTATTATCGGTGTTAACTGGTATGAACTCAACAACATCACCGCAAACAACCGATTTACAGGGAGCAAATGTCATGCCATTAACAGTTGTTCAACAAGCAAAACCAAAAACAAATGATCAACAAACATTGGCATTTACTTTAAAAATCCCAGTTGAAACTCGTTCAACAAGACCAATATTACCTAAACCATCTGCCAACTACCAACCGACAACATCAAAACCATCATCATGGTCTCGTCCGTCGATGCCAATACCAGAAAGAAACAATGAATACGATTCAACGAACAAAAATCAGCGAGGATTAACGGTAGCACCCATTATGGACAATAGACTGGAATCAAATCGAATGGATATGGATACAATGGAAGCTGCCCATGTATTGGCGTCAGCTGCCGATATGACATTGGCAGCTGCCAGCGCTAAAAGAAATCAGCAAGACGATGAAATGAATATGGATGCACCAATTGCTGGTGAGGAAACGGTACAAACGCAAGAATCAAATACTGATGAACAGAAAACGAGTGAAAAAGAAACTTCAGACAATCCACAGCCAACAACGATTACAGCCAGAGTTATTGATGACAATGGAGTTGAACATACTGTGGTCCTATCAACGGAAGAAGCTTCGCAAATTTTGACAGATGGTGTTATACTTGTCGATAGTAATTCAACTGTGACAGGTAAGAAGATTATTAGATGATATATAGAACGAATATAAAATATTAAATAAGTAACCTTGCGCGTACGTTTTAGGCAATACAATAGCCGTTGAACCACAAACATATCAGTTAGATTTATCTCAGTTTTCACTCGATGCCAATCAACTGCAAGCAGCTTTAGCTCAAGCTGGTATTGATACTAGTCAACCATTGACTATTGAACAGATAATAACCGATAATCAAATAGCAGGTCAAACTCAACAGACAGCAACGTTATGTACATCTCCTGGTGGTACAAAATTTATTTTAACTCAACCGCAAACAAATACATCACAAACACAACAATATATTTTGCAAACAAATACAGCTCCAGTTATTCTGCAGCAATCTAGTGGTCCGCAGTATACAACTAGTGTTCCAATGATAAATGCTGTTACTACAAATAATGAACAACAAAGAAAACGTGAATCAACTGAGCACCAGACAGACCTAGGGACAACTTCCAAACGTCGTTTTGCTGTGAAAAGTACAAATAGTACAATGAATGTCGAGAAAACAAATGATAATACCAATAGCAACAATGAAGATCAGGGAAATGTTACTGGTCGAGAAAGAAAAGCAGCATATGCCACAAAGTCAACCGTAACACCAATAGGAGAAGACGGTAAATTGTATTTTTTTTCTCGTACTTTTGCCAGAAGTTTTGAACATACGTTGAGTGGTGATGCCTTTTGTTTACTTCATCAACATATGCTGAAAACATGAAAAACTAAAATAGAGTAAAGATTGTTAGATTTTTCCACTACGACTAAAAATCTTGAATTGAGTTTGAGTCTGAGTGGTTTTCCATTAAAGATCTTTCTACAATAAGTAAATACTATAAATTTTACGATAAATTGTAAATTTAGATGAAGGTATTGTTGGTATACGAGCATATCGGCGAAAAAATTTTAATGGTAAAAAGGTACCTGGTAATACGGATACTTTCGACGATGAGCAATTATCTCAAAAACTGTCACCTCGAACTGCAGGTGGTAGTTTATCATCTGCGACAGATACTGATGAACATCGACGTAATCCTCGACAATTAATCACACGTTCTTCACCGTCTGATAATAACGATCAAGGTACGGCACGACGAGCAGCAAATGGGCGTGGTGAAGTTGTTTGGGTAGTTGTTTCAAAAATGCCCGCATGGCCTGCTCAAATTGTACGTACTTTTCTTCGAATTCTTCTGTAATATAATTCTATTTTTTTGTCTTGTAGGTTGCTCGATCAACTGGTTGTTTGATGATTAAATATTTTAACGATGATAGTGAACCAGATTTAGTTTCGAGTGATTGTTTGAAACCATTTTTAAAATATTATGATGATTATGCCAATATTGGTCCATGCACACTTCGCCGTCGCCAAGGTTTTCAACAAGCTTTGGATGATGCCTACAACGAATGGTTAAATACTCGTGTAACAACACAGCCATCATCCGCGACTGTTGTTCATGAATTTAAAACACACGATGGTCGAACTTATCGAGAAAACGATATTGTATGGGCATGGCATATTGAGCAAATGATATGGTGGCCAGCTAAAATTCTTAATTTATATCGTCAAGGTGAAATTGAAGTGGAATATTTAGTGTCAAATGACAAAGAAATATTAAAAGATGATAGTATTGAACTATTCAATGAATTCTATCATAAATATCATAAATCAGACGTTGAAAAAACGGATTCAACATATCGTGAAGCTATTAAACAAGCACAAAATGCATTAGAAGATTCAACGCGTTCGGCAACAAGAGTAGCGCCAGCCACAATAGCAACAAATAATTAGTAGATATTATTTACTTCAAGAAGTATTATTCAAAATAATTAACTTGAAAGACCTTATATCAAAAGTCATTTGTAATGCAATAATTTTAAGAATGTTTATTTTCTTCCTCTGCATGAAGTACTTTTGCTTTATTTATTCACTTGTAGTGTTTAGCAAAGTTTTTGATGTTTTCTGGGGTTCTCCTGTAAAACCAGCATTAATATTATGTCTTGCCGTGATCCCATTTTGAATGAAAATTGAGCTTAGAGTTCTCAATTTATTTTTTAACGGATAACATTGTCAGTGACTTACAAGACAAATTTCTGCTTCTTAATTTGTACATATTTAAGTAGTTGCAGCATTCAATCTTCTTGATGGAAAGGTAACAGATTTTCAGAAGTTTTAGCTGTATGATGGTTTATTTTAAGTGTCTATACCATGTATACCATGTATACAATACGATTTTGTTTATTTACCTTCGTTAACGTATGTAGATACACACATATCTCTCTATATTTTTGTTTTTGTGTCGTATGTTTTGTCTATATTATGTACAGCGCGCTTTTGTCTTATCTCATCATGTTTTTGTTGTACACATATTTCATAATGGAAAAGAGAGAAGTTAATAAGAGTTATAGCTTTATTATGGACACATGTTGTGGCATCGTTTTTGTTTTATTATATAAAATTCTTATAGTTTTCTTTTGGTTTTTTTTTTTTATCGAAAGTTTTTGTTGATATATTGAAACATTTTCTTTCTTTGTAGACAAAAGAGTTGAACAGGAAAAAAATGGACAAAACACTAATATGTCAGCGGTTTGGTGGAAAGTAGCTAAAACTTAAGTTATTTTTAAAAATTCAAGACAAATCAATCAATTCTTACAAAGAATTTGAAAATATCTGAGAAAGTTCGCATGGTAGACCATTCGTTGAATCGCCGTATCAATGACTAGGAACTGAACTAGTAGTTGAGTACACACTCAGTTTTAGATATGATATTAGAATCTAACTATCTATTTTGTACTTTTCTAACTCGGTTATGGTTGTGATTTTGTTTCCATAATGGTGGCTCGATCATATATGTTTCTGTGGGTCTATTTTAGACAATAATGTCATTTCTACGTGGTATGTTTGTGTTAGGAGTTGGATTTTATGCTGGCGCCTATTCTGCCCAAAATTATGATATACCAAAGATGGATTCGCCACAACAACTGTACGAACGATTTATAGCTTATATAAAAACCTATAAAAAAGATGATTAAACAATTATCTGTGTGTGTATGTCTAAAATTAACAAAAGAGACAGCTGATTTCGTCTAAATTCAAATATGAAAAAAACCATCTAATCCACTAATTACTACAAATGACAACTGTAAAATCAAAATATACATATATAATGTTTTTCTAATAAATTTCTATTATTCCGGATAAAGTGTTGATATTAAACGTGCCACTTCAGTTTTTTTGTCTAACTTATGTTATCATTTTAAATCTGTGTATTTTGTTCCTATTTAAAAAAATATGACACATTTTATTATTCAAACATTGGCAGATAAAAAGATTTTTAGACTATTTTTACTGTATAAAGACAATCAAACATTTAGCAATATACGGTATGTCAGACATATTGTTTCCTATTTTATCAAAAAGATATTTTTAGTTTGTTTTTGTAAAAATGTTGTTCAAATAATTGTTTAGATGCTATAAAGTTTGTTAATAGTGAATACTACATAATAAATATTTAAAACGGTTTGATTGTAGATGTTATTAAAGTTTTTACGTCTTATTAAAAGCACACATCATGCACAATTTATTAGTCCATTGATTTTGTATAAATATTTTTCAGCAACAGTTCTAGTAAAACACTCAAAATTTTATGACAACAATGCAATTAAACACAAAAATTTACTATGTATCATACCGTTAGCAAATTCATCAACATCTAGTGTTAATAATTCCTCCTCAACATCAATAATCAATGATGAAGATCTGTCTTTGAACAAATACGAAACAATTGTTAACGAGACACTTGAATCATTAACTGAAAAATTTGAATATATTATCGATAAATATAAATTATCAACAGATTACGATGTAACGTACAGTAACGGTGTGTTAACCGTTGATCTTGGACAAAATGGAACATACGTGGTTAATAAACAAACACCAAATCGACAAATATGGTTATCGTCACCACGTAGTGGTCCAAGACGATATGACTATATACAAAACCAATGGTTATACAAACACGATCACATAACGCTACATGAATTATTAACAAATGAAATATCAGAAATATTCCACGATAAAATTGATTTTCACGATTGTTCGTACGGAAAAAAGAAATAAACTGATATTTTGATGACACTTGTATGTTTTTATTTAAATAAATATTTTGGATTTAAGGAAGCCGCCCCCCGCCTCCCCCACCTCAGACAAGTCGATTTTTCTTCGAAATCTGCGAAACTGAAGTAAGCATATGGTTGAGTATCCCACACTATCATTTTTCAGAATCCATCTAAATATGCCGAAAATTCAATATTTTTAGAGGTTTTTCAAAAAGATTCAAAAAAGCCCTAAAAACCACCTTTTCTAAATATGGAATTTCAAATTAAAATTTTTATGGATGCCCGTTTTAACAGACATAGAGCTATATTGAGCAGAGTGTTCTGATCAAAATGAGATCTCTCGCTGGTTTGTACGACTTCGCCTTGCAGAGTTACACTAGTTTTGGTAAAGGCGCTGAATTATGATTAATGAAGTGATGACGTCATTGCTGAGAATATGATTTTGAAGCAGCAAAATTGTATCTCCTCCTAGATCATTCATCATAAAACCTTCATTTTTTTTTATTTTGAAGCTAAGACATTTATCTAAAGTCTGATCCGTAGCGATTTCTGAATTTCGTTTTCCGTGCAGAAAAAGGTGGAAGATACTCCTCCGAGTTTAGGGTTATTGTAGGGTCTTAAAATACATATAGAAAATGAACAGAAGCGAAATCCCAAAATCGCTACGGATCAAACTTTAGATTTTGACGTCTCCTTTCATTTGAGACCACCCACAGCTTTCTGCTTCTTCTAACAAAAAGCCTTAACGTTTTTGCTAAGAGACCCATTTCGCCCCTTAACCCATCTACAAGTCGGCAAAGCTCCAAGCTTTCGAGTTCAAATGTTTAGCATAAGGTAGTTGTATAGTAACCATTAATCACTGTAAGCGCCATCGAAATCAGATGTGAAAGAACAAAGTTTTTTCCTGAGAGGGGACCCTTTAATCAAGTGTGGACTGAGATTGCTACTTGTAGTTTGACGAAAAATTTTGTTCACAAATTCAAGATGAAACATTAACACAAGATTATTCGTATAACTTTTTAATTTTATAATTTCACTTTGTAATAAAACACACATTATAAGTTTTATAGAGAATCCCACGACATATTTTTTACGAAACTCGGTGGAAGTGAAAGGAAAAAGGTTGTTGTAAAAATAAAAAAGTAAGCTATTTCCTCTGAAGCCCTGGTTAGACTGTCGGGGAACGATAGTTACTGGAAAATATTAATATTTCTACGTAAGAAGATAATAATTATCGGCGGTAAACTCGCTTCATGATGTGCAGGGTGTTGCATAACCTTTTTCCAGGGAGGTAACGACGTGATTTTAAAGCAGGTACCTAATGAATTTTATACCAAATGAAAGCCCGTAAAAAACTGGATCTAGGACTATAGTTAAGAATTCAATAGATGCAGATAGTCAATCCAAGTTATAAATGTACAAGATTGTGATTACTTTCTTGCGAAGAAAATAAAGTATCAAGTAAATGTGGTTCAGTTACAAATGATATATCAAGCGAACCTTTTATTTGATTTGAATAGAAATGATACATCAATATCTAGTGTGACCGCCGTTGGCTTTACGTACAGCTTTTAATCGCTGAGGATACGATTTCAATAGACTTTCGAAAAGTTCTTTTTCATTTTTAAGTTCATGAAGAACATTTTGAAGATGTTCAAGGAAAACGACTGAAGAATTTGTCGGACCGCGTTCGCTGATCATCAGACTTTCTACTTTGTCCATTAGAATTGATCCAACATTTTCCGCCACATTCAGGTCTGGAGAACTACCTGGCCATTCTGTTCGGTCAAAGAAATCGATTCCAGAGTTTTTGAGCAATTGCTGAGTGGCATTTGCTTTGTAACACGGAGCGTTGTCATAAGATAAACAACTTCTGCTGGATCTAATACATTACACTAATACAGCAGTAAAACAGATGACAACTTCAATGCAATTTGGTTTTGCACAAACATCTTGATAACGCTCATCGCTTTCGATATCTTCTAGAGAAAACGCCCATATTCTATCGTTTTGATAGTTAGGTCGACGAACAGTCCAGATGTAGAAATCATCAGCTGGCGCAAGGTGCATGAAGTCATGTTCATCCCAATGACGCAAATAATTTCAAAACCAGACACGATTTTCTACGCTTGTTGCCGACTTCATTGGCTTTGGAATCACATGAAAAGCCTTTAGTCATTGTTTGATACGGTATCGTTGAATAGTTGACGGGCTAACGGCTTCCCCACGTTTCTCGAAAATCTCCTTTGCAACTCGCCTGCAGCTTCTTTGCCTTTTCCCACTGTTTTCCATTATGATATTTTTGCTTTCTTCCGACAATTTTGTCGGCCTTTCATCGCCAAACTTCGTGAAGCAGTGTTCATATCCTTTTTTCCAGTTGTCCGTAACACACCTTTCAGTACGATGCAGTTTTTGAGCAATCCATTTTCGATTGATAAATGTTGCACCTTCTTCCATTGCTTCTCGATAGGCATTCGCTCGAATACGATCTATCACACGTTGTTCTTCGTCATCTCCAACGACTCCAGCCATTTTATTAGACGATAAATACGTGAAATCTTATATAATAATAGAACAATCAATGACACAAGTTGAGATAAAGAAGAGCAGGAGGAAGAGAGAAGCCCCACGCACACGTGTTTTATGTGGCAAAAAGAGAAAATATCTCTACGAAAAGAAGAGAAACGAAAATAACAGCAGAAAAGAAAATGAAACAGAATGAAAAAAAATAGTGCATACTTATACGTCTAAAATTTGGATTGACTATCTGCATCTATTGAATTGTTAACTATAGTCCTAGATCCAGTTTTTTACGGGCTTTCATTTGGTATAAAATTCATTAGGTACCTACTTTAAAATCACGTCGTTACTTTTGTCACCATCTATATACCTTTTTAAGATTTCGTACAAACTATATACCGTTTTAATTAGCTAAATTCGTGACTGGGAACAGCTTGGGAACACTGAAAAAACATTTTTTTTTGTGTTTTTACGCAATTTTTTTCCAGTGACGGATTTAGGGTGCTGTACGAAACCTTAAAAGGTTTCGTAGTTTGTATGAAACCTTAAAAAGGTATATAGATGGTGACAAAAGTTTAAACCCTTTTTAGGTTTGGTAGAGTGCCTTTTTGTTAGAGAGTATTCATCAAGGTTTACTGTTTTCCGGTCATTCCGTCAACTTTTTTAACATAGCATAGATGAGACGATTAACGTGAAATAGATGTGTACAGCTAATGCTTTTTCACTTTTATTGATGTGTTTTCTGATTTTTCGTTACAAAAATACGGTTTGTGTTTAACGAATGTTTGAGTTTTGGACATCTCAAACTAATTTTTTCTAGGAATAAATTTCTGCTGCTAGTCTAGTACGAAATATTTGCCATTCGCCTTTCAGAGGAAGATGGACAGTAACAATTCTCCATACAGCATATAAACTTTAATTCAAATATCTGTCAATATAATTCAGTTTGTTCCACGGTAAGCTGTTGGTGTTCAGGCATGGTTGGTTTAGCAAGTTCATGTATAGTGGTGTTCTAGGACTGCTCTCTTACACCTATACAATGTTCACTCTAGCGTACTAGAGCTCTAGTTTTAATAATCGCAGACATATAGTTCGAAGTGTCCTCCACAAAACTGCATCTAAGCAGCATCTTGAAAATTCATGATTTGGGGGCTATGGACGTTTTTCCCGAAGCCTTAGCACTCCTCTGCTGTTAGGTTTGTGAGTGTGCGAAACGCCTGAAAACACAGGTTATCGACTATGCTGAATCTTGTGGCAATGTTAGTTTTCAGAACAAAATGCAAGAATCGAGTGAAAACCTATACTAGGTGAAATAATCCATTTTTGATTATTTTCATCAAAAAATGAAAAAATTCATAACTCAGTCAAAATCTATCTAACCCACTTCAGAATGTCAATATATACTCTATTTTATCTGCAGCATACAGTAAAGGTTGTAAACACCAATAGAAAATATTTCAGTTTTTAGAAAGGTTTCGCCGAAATCTTCGGAACTAAGAGAATATTTTTTAATGATTTCACGTACAGAATCAGAATGAGCGGATAAAATAGAGTATATCTTGCATTCTGAAGTAGTTTGGATGGATTTTGACTGAGTTATGAAATTTTTTAATTTTTGATGAAAATAATCCAAAATGGATTATTTCACCTAGTATAGGTTTCCCGAATCAAGGATTTTCAAGATATCGCTTAGATGCAGTTTTGCAGAGGACACTTCGAACTATATATCTGTCAAAAAATTTGACCTATTTCTATGTCAGTTTCTATGTCAGAGATCCAAACTGATTTTCCAAAGCCCCTCTGAAAACCGACTTCGGAAAATCTTTCAAATGTCGATTTTGCTTATGCAAATGTAGCGTCAAGTGTCTAGATCCCAAAACTGAAAATCCCAGATTTCTATCATTTTTCTATTAAAAGTTATTTAAAGAACAACCGTGGCCACTGTTCATTTGGAAGGACAATAGTGAATGAACCTGTAAAAACTAACCTATTTAAATTTTTTATTATTTTAAAACTATTAAGCACATAAAATAAAATATATTTCGACACGGCGTTTTTGTTTTATTATTTTTCTTAAATCGATATTAAGAGATCGTGCTTCAGAGTGACTAGAATTATCGAAACGTTTTATGTTGAATTACTTTTTACCATAGGAAAAAACGGACAACTCTTGAAAAGGTTTAAATAAATTCAGGAGATATAAACTCAAATTTCAGGGAAAGTAAATACCATATCCTGACTGAACTTAAAAACGGCCATTTTCGCCTAGGAGTGATTGGATGAGAGAAACAACAAGTCATGCTCAATCGATGTCTCAGATTTGCTTCTGACTAGCCCTGTCTTGTTTAGCATGTGTGGAAACCTACAAATCCCAATTTTGAACTTTATAGGACTTCTACTTTCTGAGTTCTGGACGCTTTTCTAGAGTCC